CTTGGACAACTTCTGTATAATATTTTGCGCAGGTAATGAAGATCGTAGTAGTGATAATTTTAAAATTAGGCCAGGCTACGGTGTACCAGACTTGCCTGTGCAATAATGAGTTTTTGCGCTAAACTTGCAGATTACTAACAGCAGGAATGGTTCATGCTCTGTAGTTTAATAATTTTCACTGTAGTTGCGCCATGGCGCTGCATAGCAAAAGTAAATAAAAATTAAATTAAGGGAAAAGGAATGTTTCGGTCCATTAAGTCGCAGACATTCATATTTAGCAGCGTAACTTGATCTCGTCAGTGTGACGGTATATCGCCGCAAGTATGTATTGTTGCCAATCTTCAACCAATATTTTCTGAATGGAACTAACAAAGCCAACCGATTCGCTGTACGTGATTCGTTTCGATGGTAAATTGGTACTAGCAAGGGAAGCAATACCAGGGACTTGCGGTTTCAAGTTTTGTACGTCTTATCCTAGTAAAACCGGAAACAAGAAGACAAATAGGGAAAAGTGAAAATGAAAAAGTTAAAATCAAATAGTGCCAATAGGGCTGTATTTAGAAACAAAATTTTTTAAAAAAAAATGACATTTTGGGACGGAGGGGTGAAACAAAAACGTTATAAACATACCTGTACTGTGGCCTGGAGGGTCTGTACGTAGTGGAACACCATTGGGAACGTGAAAATGCACGCCGTCACGGCGACTGTCGAAAAAACGACAGCTGCAAATGCAACCGAGCGCAGTGACGACTTATTTTCCATGTTGCAGGTGTAGGCGCGACCACAGCCAACACCGAGGTTCCTTTTATAAGGAAGGTCCACTCGCCCTGGGAACCGGTCCGGACGCGATGCTGGAACGAACCCCGAAAGCATTCCAACCAAACGAAACACCTCCTCGTCCACATTTTTAATGTTGCACTCTAATAGATCAATATAAGCTTACATTTAAGATATCTGAATACGTACGTGAGGCTACCACACGTTCCACACGTCTTACTTGGTTGAACACACAAAAGCGACCAGTATAGTACCAGTTTTGGCAATTTTAGTCCAGTAAAAGTCTTTTGAATTTTTTCAAGCTTTAGAAGTTCTCTGAAAAACCCGAATTTGCACTTAGTAGCACAAGTTTCATTCTTTTTACCTGGTAGTAAACACGGAAGTATCAAGAATAATGCTAGTTTGGGACATTTAGACGACCAGTGAAGGCCAAATCAGATCTTTTGAATTTTTTCAAGCGTCGGAAATTTTTCTTTGAAAAACCCAAATTTGTAATGCTTGATAACTCACAAAAAAAGTCCAAAATAGTCCTAATTTTGGGACACTCCATTTCAGTTTAGAAGCAGCTCAGTTCTTAAGTTTTGAAATTTTCCAAAGTTCTGGATTTTCTTTAAAAGTCTAGATTCGAAATTTTTTTCCAGGATTTTTTCAAAAGCTTTTCAAAAAACATGATACGATAGGTGTAAGTCACACTTTAATTTTTTTTTAGTATCGCACACAAAGAACCAGGCAGCGCTAGCTGTGGGGCCTCAGTTCAGTTGAAGAAAATTAATATTTTAAATTTTGAACTTTCTTAGAAATATTCAGGATTTCTTTCAAAACTCGGGATATGTACATAGTCATAATGCGCATACATATACCCCGCATGCATCTTGTGTTATGTATTGTACTACACATGTAATTTCTTCGGTATTATTGCCACAGCAGGAGAGTTATGGTCACTTAAGGCTGAAGATAAATGAGGCAGCGAATGCTAAGTTGGAGATTTGCAGCTCAGGATCGAAAGGCTTGGCACAGTTGCGACTTGCGTGCGGGGACCTAGGATAGAAGCATGGTATGATAGTTCAGCTGGTTTTGATATTCTTGGTATTTATTATGTAAATTCTATTTTAAATTTTTCAAATTCAAATTTCACATAATTCCAACAGAGCTCTTTTAAATTTATGCAAATAAATGGTGAATTCCTGCAACTTAAGAAGGCAGAATAAGAAATTCCTGCTTATTTCTTAGTTCGTCCAGCAGGAGGCGGTGATGTTCTAAGCATGATCTATGGATTTATCT